GAAAGAAGCTCCTCCAAAACTTGTTTTCCCCTTATGTTTCCTGTTTTCTCTCTTCTGCTGTATGTTTCTGTGTTTTTGCTTTGTCTTACTTCTTAGCGTACACACGTATGCGTGCATGTTTGCATGTGTATGTGGAGGCAAGGCAATCTTAGGTGTCTTTCTCAGGAATGCTGCCCACCTCCTTTGTGTCATTCATTGGTCCTAAGCACTAATTCAGCTAAAATGGCTGGTCAGCAAGCCTAAGATCCTCCAGTCTCTGCCTCCCGAGCACGGGGATTACATCCGCGATGCCCAGCATTCTTACACAGGTGCCAGGGAGCTAGCTCAGGTCTTCCTACTTGAGAAGCAAGTGCTTTACTTGCCTGAGACCCCTAAACTTCTTTATCTTATTATTTTTCACTTTTTTAAACAAAAAATTTATTTATTTATCATGTATACAGTGTTCTGCCTGCATATATGAATGAATGCCAGAAGAGGGCACCAGACAACATTACAGATGGTTGTGAGTCACCATGTGGTTGCTGGGAATTGAACTCAGGACCTCTGGAAGAGCAGCTAGCCAGGGCTGCTCGGAGCCATCTCCCCAGCCCCATCTTATTATTATTTTAGGTTCTTGTATTTTATTTATTCAGACAAGGATTCATAGCCCAAGCTGACCCCAAATTTGAAATGTAGCCTTAAACTCCTAATCCTTCTACCTCTGCCTCCCAAATCCTGAGATTACAATTGTGCACCCAAGTCCGATTTTTACAAGAGACTGTTTTTTCCTTCCACTGTATGGGCCCCAGCGATCCAATTCTGGTTGTTAGGCCCAGCAACAAGCACCTTTACTGGCTGAGCCACCCTGCCGGCACTCTGTACATTTTGGATATGAAGAGACTATAAAAGATGGGCTGAGCACTGGGACTTCAGTCTGGCAGTTCTTAGGTGGAAACAACTTTTCCTCCCAGAAGACATATGGCATCTAGAGACACTGGGTTCAAAGGGGTGTGTTACTGGTATCTGGTAGGTAGAATCCAGGGACGTTGCTAAACATTCTACAATGAACATCAAAGAATTATCTGCCCCCAAATGCTAAATGTGAAAAAATGCTCAGAGCTAGTCTGTCTGGTCTTAAGCTCATAATCCATATAGCTGCTGGCAAGTTCATTATCTTTGGGCTTATTGTTCTCATCAACACAATTACAGTACCTACTGATTTGTTGTCAGAATGGAGTATATGAGAAAGGGGTTAATGCAGGTGTTAGACAGAACATCTGAGCAAAGTGTGAGACTGCTGGGGCTGTCTCCATCCAGTTCCCCCACAATACACTAGGAGGATTTCATCTTAAGAACAGTGAAGTCCGAGCAGGACCAGTGATGTCCAGGGAGGGATTTAAGGATACTACTGAGCTCTGGTTCACAATGAGCCTAACTAACATACTTAAATGCCAAGTACAGTTTGACTGCTCCAACTTCTTACTGTGTATTTGCTGCTTTACTATAAATATATGCAAATAAAATAGTATAGATAGAAGTTTTTGTCAGACCCTGTTCCACAGCATTAAGTTCCAAATAAACACACAGAAGCTTATAGTAATTATAAACTGTTTGGCCTACTAGCTCAGGCTTATTACTAACTAGCTCTTATAACTTAAATTAACCCATAATTCTCATTTATGTTTAACTATGTGGCTTGGTACCTTTTCTCAATAAGGCATTCTCATCTGCTTCTGATGACGACTGCATCTCTGCCTTTCCTCTTCCCAGAATTCTCCTAGTCTGATTGCCCCACTTATACTTTCTGCCTAACTACTGGCCAGTCAGCATTTTATTAAACCAATATGAGTGACAAATCTTTACAGTGTACAAGAGCATTATTCCATAGCAAAATAGACTCAGAGCTGATGTGGGATTCCCCTCTGTATGCTGTGAATACCATTAGTTAATAAAAGATCTGTCTTGGGCCTGGCAGGGTAAAATAGAGCTAGGCAGGGAAAACTAAACTGAATGCTGGAAGAAGTGGAATCAAGAAAAGCCATGCTGGGCGGTGGTGGCGCACGCCTTTAATCCCAGCACTCAGGAGGCAGAGGCAGGCGGATCTCTGTGAGTTCGAGACCAGCCTGGTCTACAGAGCTAGTGCCAGGACAGGCTCCAAAGCCACAGAGAAACCCTGTCTCAAAAAAAAAAAAAAAAAAAAAAAAAAAAAAAAAAAGAAAGAAAAGAAAAGCCATATAGCCCTGACAGAGACTAACACTGGAACTTTACCCGGTAAGCCATGGCCTCATGGCAATAAACAGATTAATACAGATGGGTTAGTTTAAGATATGAATTAGCCAAAAATATGCTTAAGCTATTGGCAAACAGTATTTCAAATACGTTTCTGTGTGATTATTTCGGGGCTGAGCAGCCAGGAACAAAAAAAGCAGCCTTCCTACAACAGAGAGCTGGGCATAGTGGTGCATGGCTGGGCATGGCAGTGCGTGGTGGTACATGCCTATAATCCCAGGATTGGGAAGGGGAGGCAAAGAGGATCACCTCAAGGCTCATGCCAGCTACATGGAAAGTTTGAAGCCAATCTAGGCTACATGAAATCCTATCTCAGAAAACAAACTAACTAAACAACAACAACAAAAATAGACATAGGCCCCAAAATTAGCTCCAGCAGAATGTTGCTGAGAGTTTTGAGTCTTCTCATTGTAGGTTTACATATGTCTACCGAGAGTTTGCCATTCACTAGGTCACTTTTCAAGTTACCTGTCCCAGAGAAATGTCTGTCACTGAGAAAACAACTACTCTTCGAAGTGCTTTGCAATGAACTACTAGAGGAAAACACAATGTTTGGAAAAAAAGTTTGCAAATTTGAGCTTGCTGCCTATCTTTCCACTTTATGTTTTAGACCCAGCACCTCTTTCCGTTTTCCCAGCATGGAGGAATAAGAGCAGAAGGAAACCCACACAGATCAAGGGGAAAATCTTTTACTTTTTATGTTTGTTTTTATAAGACAGAGGCTTACTCTGTAGCTCAGGCTACCCTTCAATTCTTGGTGGTTCTTAGTTATCCTTTAACTCCTCACCTGTGATTACAGGCACTGTCCACCACTCACAGTGAGAAAATCCGTGTGTGTGTGTGTGTGTGTGTGTGTGTGTGCTCATACCCATGCAGGACAGAGGTCAAGGCTGACTAGCACAAAGACCCTCCTACCTCTGCCTCCTAGTGCTGAGATTACAGGTACACATAATCATACTCAATTTTTATTTTTCAAGTTCAGTGCTAAATATCTGAACTCAGACCCTCACACCCGCCAACCGTTTTATTCATTGAGCCATCTCCCCAGCACCAGAAATTCCTAACTTATAAAAAAAAGTATTAGCAATTTTTATTTATTTATTTATTTTTGAGACACTTTCTCAGGACCTGTCCTGGAACTTACTCTGAAGACCAGGCTGGCCTTGAACTAACAGAGATCTACCTTTCTCTGCTCCCCAAGTGAAGACATGCACCACCACCACCACCCAGCTAGCAATTTTCTTTTACCCTTAAAAAACTACGATAATTTGCAAAGAAAGATCTCCTTGCTTTAAAAGCATATTATTTTAAAACAACAAACGCAGTTAGGCATCATAGTTAATAATTTTTTTAAGGTTTTCTTCTTTTTTGAGACAGAGTCTGACCCTGCAGCCCAGGCAGGCTTCAGATTTCTGGCACTCTTCCTTTCTTGGTGCTAGACTTATAGGATATATTCACTGTTTTTTAAGAATCAGATGAAAGCAATATGCCTAGACTGGGCTTGTTACTAGGTTCTGAGGATAGAAGAATATTTCTAGGTTTGATTTAAAAAGTCAACCATAACATAATTCCAGATTTATCTTTTTTACTTTATACATCAGTGATCACCATAGTAACATCATGTTTTACTACTAGGTATTTATGCAGCTCAAGATGGAGAGAACAAGCAATTACTTACAGGGTTATTTGGGGGTACAGAACATGACAATCGGGATAATTCAAAATTAAATATAGATTTCACTGGAGATCTGCTTTAGCCAAGCAAGCTGACTCAATCTTCTAGTAGCGTCAGCTGAACAAAATTTGTAGCTCTATAGACTGTTGACATCATTTCAGATAACACAAGACGGCAAGCATCATAGCTCAGTGGTTAAGAATGAGGACTTTCAAGATCAAGAGTCTTGAGATTCAGTTTTTGTTCTATTATATGCTACCTAAGTGACCATAGAATAGCTCCTGAACTAACTCCTCTGTCCCTGGGTTTATCTCTAAATTGTATTCTGAAAAGATTAATGATTACTTATGCTTGGAATCACGGCTCACACAGAATAAGAACTTTTTCAAGTATCTGTTAGATGAAATGAAATGTATATTTGCTAGCTCTTCTCTTTGTGCTCGGTTGAAAGACTGGAAGGAACCAAGATGAGTGCATGGCAGATTCTAGCTTTTAAATCTGGCAGATTCCTGTAAGAGCTTCCCATAAGATGTGGGGTTCTGTGGCAGTCTAGGGTCCTAAAACAGAGCTGGGGGACAATCACTGGTGCTCCTGGTTATCAGGGACATCAGGAGGATGAGCAAACAGCACAAAGGAATAGCAGGACTATCCACCCAGGCTCCCTAAGCTACTGCCAGTAACCTGGGCACAGAAGAGCAGCTCACAGGCAAGAAATGGGATTTTCTAACAGAGGCAATGAAACCTAGCTCTTCTGAGTGATGATTCCCCAAGACCCTTCCGGGATTAAACAAGGAGAAATCCTTTCATCAATGAGTTTATGGTTTTATTATCAATCACTATGTACAATAATTTTTCCTCTCAATAGGTACCTACTCTGGAATATTTATTTTACAGAACTACCTAAGCATCTTTTTGAACCTGTAACAAATCTAATGCCCCTAGTGAGCATTTAAGCCCATAAAATCTCCAAATTGCCCGGAAAAAAATAAGAGAAAGAGAAGGTATTGTGTCCTCCGAGCCACATTCCAGCTGTGATAGAGCGATTTCGAGCACATACCTTCATGGGGACTTGATTTCAGAGACAGTCTCTGTAGGTCTTCTTGGTCAGGAGCAGCTCTCACACAGGACTCTGGAAGATGCCATAAACCACCAGGAAACCCTCCGAACACATTCATGTCCTCTGCCTTCCCTCAGCTCACAGCCTGCTTCCTGGTAGGAGACAAGATGACGCTGTGCTGGGTTGACTGTTAAACCATCTTCCCACCCCCAACCCCACTCTCGGGGGCCCCTCCTTCTCCTTTCCAAGGCTCTGGAATGTGTCACATGGGGAATGGATCATGTGGCTTGGGGGGGGGGGGGAATGTGGCCATCGGCTCTCTCCCTTCCCCCACTTCTCTTTTCAGGAGCAAGGCAGCAGAAATCTCTGACCCGATTGGCTCCGATCAGAACATCTCCATATGAAAAGGGCACAATCAGCCCACAGACCTCCAGCCTTCTTCCCTTTCCTTTCTTTCACCAGGTAATTTCATCCTGAGCTTTCCGAGTTGCTTCCCAGAGGAAGATTATGCTTTCTCTCCGATCCCTCATTCCCTTTCTGTTACCAGCATCCGGACGTGACTTTGCGAGCCTACTCTATCTTGGGGGCACCCTTAAGAACACAGCTGGGCAGTGGAGTATTCAGCACCACGGACAGCATTGCCTTCCCTTCAGCCCTCCTTAAAGCCATTTCTCTATTTCAGGTAAATAAAAAATATTTTTAAGGCTTTTCCCTGAAGCTTTTTTTTAAATATATAAATATAAATAACCCACACCATGTACTTAGGGCTCTAACTTCCTCTACTGTCAACTTACTTTATTTAGGAGAACAAATAATTTAATTTCACTAAAAGTACATCTGCTCTCTAGCCCCCATCCTGCAATCATCCCCGACTCTTATCTCTTAAATACTTTGGGGTTTTTGTTTTGTTTGCTTTGGGGGGAGATTTCAAGATATAGTGTACTATACATGTGTTCCCTCATCTCTACTTGTGGGAAAATCACACAGGAATGCTGGGGTGTACGAGCCGAGATGTTTTTGGCTCCGCCAGTGGGCCTCAGGCAGAGCTGAACTGAAGAGGCAGGACAGAAGCCTGGTTGCAGCTATTCTGTGTGGGTCTATCCAGCTTTGCTGACGTCCTGGTTGCCATGGTACTAGGTAACTGCTGAAGGGGACTATTGCTTTCCAAACCGGTCGCCATGGGACCCTGTAGTCTAAAGAAAGAGGAAAAAGAACCTAATTGTTGAGGAGCTTTCGGCTAGCATCTGCAGAAACAAATCTACCTTGTGGATTTCTTCCTGACTGGATTGCTGAGACCCTACACACTGCCAGAATTCTAAGGACCCATCGTCACACTAAGACAGTAAAAGTTCTCCCCTCCTCCCTCGCTTCCTTCCTTAAAAATCTACTGAAGATGTCAGCTACGTGGAGTACCTGAGGACTGCTTCCACAGCACGATGGAAAGCACACAAAAAAGGGCATTTCTCTTTGAGACCACATGGAAGTGGCCTTTTGGAAGCCACTCATGTAATTCCTAATAGCCTACTGCAGAGGTATGTATGAAATACGTCTGAAGTTGACCAGGAGAACAAGTTTGCAAATACTTTGCCATTTTACAGGTAAAATAAAAAATACAATTTGAACACAGACTGCTAAATTGATTTTTAAACATCAGTTAAGGTAAAAATTGAAGGGCATTAGGATTACCCCAAATCGGGAATTTAAAGTAGTTATTCCCTGGCTGGCAAGACAGCTCAGGGTGTAAAGGCCCTTCCTGACAACTCAAATTCATTCTCAGGGTCAACATGCAGAACAAATGTCAGATACTTGTCCTATGACCTACACACCTACACACACACACTCCTCCCTCCCTTCCTCTCTCTCTGAGAATAAATGTCTGGAGAGACGGCTTGCTGCTTTACCAGGGGACCAAAGTTCAGTTCCTAGCACCTACAAAGTGGCCTGTAACTCCAGTTCCAGTGGCTCTGACACCCTCCTGGCCTCCACAGGCACCGGACACAAACATGGTGCACATATATTTGAGTAGTTGTGTACATATAAAAAGTAATAATGTAGACCAGCCTGGTCTACAAGAGCTAGTTCCAGGACAGGCTCCAAAACCACAGAGAAACCCTGTCTAAAAAAAAAAAAAAAAAAAAAAAAAAAAAAAAGTAATAATGTAAATGTGTAGCTATATTCTTGCTTCACTGGTTGACATATAACTTAGTTTTCCCTAAGAATACAAACAAAGGCACTCCAAATATTGTTTTAGAAAAGAAATGCTGACTTGAAAGATGTGAAAATGCAAATTTCAAAAGAAAAGAGACAGACAGACTGTGGTGGTGCACACCTTTCATTCTAGCACTCAGGAGGCAGAGCCAGGTGGATCTCTGTGTGTTCAAGGCCAGTATGATCTACAGAGTGAGTTCCAGGACAGTCAGTGCTACACAGAGAAACCCTATCTCAAAAAACAAAAGAGAGAGAGAGAGAGAGAGAGAGAGAGAGAGAGAGAGAGAGAGAGAGAGAGAGAGAGAGACAGCTCCTTCCTGGCTCAATATCCACAGCTAAAGATAAAGTTCTCTCTCTCTCTCTCTCTCTCTCTCTCTCTCTCTCTCTCTCTCTCTCTCTCTCTCTCTGTGTGTGTGTGTATACAGGTGCACACATACACATCTGTGTGAGGACCAGAAGTTGACATTGAATCTCTCCTCATTATTTTCTGAGACAGGGTCTGTTTCTCATCAAACCTGGAACTCACTGATTTGGTTAGGTTGGCCAGTCAGCCACTCCAGTTTTTAACGTGGGTGCTAGAGAGCCACTGGGTTTTCAAGCCCTTTTACTGACCAAGTCATCTCCCTCGCCCTGTATTTTCTACTTTTCTTTTATGAAAAGGCTATGCTAATTCTTTTTTATATAAGACTCAGAATACTCTTGCTATATAGTTCTGGCTAGCCTCCAACTCATGGTCCTTCTGCCCTTGTCTCCCAGTGCTGGGTTTACAAGTAGATGCCCTTATACTCAACTATAAGAGTTAGAAAATCAGCTCTTAATTTTAACATTTGCCACATCTAGGAAATTCTCTCATAAGCTGGATATTGTTTAGGTTAGGTTGTCCTCAAACTTATCATCCTCCTGTCTCAGCCTTCTAAATTGCTGGAATTACAGTCATGTGCCACCGAGCTAGGCTCTAGATGTGTAGCACCAAGAACAACTAAACTGGGAGTGGCACTACCAACCTATACCAGCATTTGGTCAGCAGGAAGACAAGTTCAAGGTCAGCCTGGGCTACATAACAAGATTCTGTCTCAAAACAAATGAACAAAACCCACCATCAGTGATGGTTTGGGTCTATTATCTCAGCACTTGTGAAGCAGAAAGATCTTATGTTCAAGGTCAGCCTGGGCTACGTACAAAGGCTTTATCATTAAAAACAAAACAAAACACTATTCTCGCCTACTGTTACCTCAAACTTCCAACCAAAATAAGTGAATGGCTCGAACAACTGAGTAACTAATCCTTTTAACAGACAGAAGCAGGATGGTTTGTAAAGGTCCTTGCCACCAAGCCCAACTGCCTGAGTTCAAGCCTCACAACCCCTGTGGTAGGAGAGAAATGACTACATCCACACACGCACCCTGGTATGTATGTGCACACAAAGATACACACACAGTAAATACAATCAATTTTAAAATAAAAAGAATCTTCCCAATTGCTTCAAACGTTAAGGGAAAGAAAACCACTATCCAACTGGTCCTGGGAAATTCATTAAAATATTTGTCTGTTTTAAGTTCTCTGTCTTCTGCCTCCATGGTTTAGGTTTGACAGTTTCTGTCTGTCCACTCCAAAACCAGACTAGTTTCTCAAACTACTGTTTTGGGTTTTTTAAATTCTTCTTTCATATAGTACATCCTGACCAACCACAGCTTCCCCTCCCTCTACACCTCTCATTTCCCCCAATCCACTGCTCCTGTTTCCCTTCAGAAAAGAACAGGCTTCTCAGCAGCATCAACTGAATGGCATAACAAGACGCAATGAGACTGGACACAAACCCTCATATCGAGGCTGGAGGAGGCAACCAGTAGGAGGAAAAGGGTCCCCGGCGCAGGAAAGAGTCGGAAACACCACCTCTTGTGCTATTTTATTTGTATTTTAATAAATAAAGCTTGCCTGACGATCAGAATGTAAAACTAAGCCACTAGAGGCTAGAGAGTACTGGCACACACCTTTAATCCCAATGTTTGGGATTAAATTTTCTTAAAATTTATTTTACAAGTATTACGCCTGCATGTGTCTGTGTACCATATGCACACCTAGTACCCAAGGAGACCTGAAGGTGTCGGATCCTCTGGAACTTGAGTTACAGACAGTTGTGACCACGGTGTGGGTGCTGGCAATCCAACCGAGGTCCTCCATAGCTCTTAACTGCCGAGTCATCTCTCCAGCGCCCCCAGAATTAAAAACTTTTAAAGCCAGCTAGGTGTTCACTATTTTTATGTTCTGGCATATTAAACAAACGTGAATGTGGGTATTATCCTAAAGCAAATTAATTTTTAGTTTCCACTGGTCCTTTAAAAACATCTTGTAAGGGGCTGGAGAAATGGCTCAGCAATTAAGAGCACTGACTGTTCTTCCAGAGATCCTGAGTTCAATTCCCAGCAACCACATGGTGGCTCACAACCATCCGTAATGAGATCTGGTACCCTCATCTGGCCTGCAGGGATACATACGGGCAGAACACTGTATACATAATAAAATAAATAAATCTAAGAACAAAATAAAATAAAAAAAATAAAAGAGCAATCGTGTTGCAGTATCAACACTTTAAAAATAAAACAATAAAACAAAAAAAAATCTTGTAAGCTGAGCGGTGGTGGTACACTCCTTTAATCCCAGCACTCGGGAGGCAGAGGCAGGGGTATCTCTGTGAGTTCAAGGCCAGCCTGATCTATAGAATAAGTTCCAGGACAGGTTCCAAAGCTACAGAGAAACAGAGAAACCCTGTCTCAAAAAATAAAAATAAATTGAAAAAAAAATCTTGTATTTGTTGATCCTTTTATCCCTAATTAAAACCCATTACTTTTCATGGACATATTTACTTAAAAGACACTACTAATTGAAATATTGTCTTTGTTTTGATTTAGTTTTTGAGACAGGCCTCATGTAGCCCAGGCTAGCCTTGAGGACTCACTGTACATCCTGGAAAGCCACTGTGCATCACTAATTATGGGGACTAAATGTATGTACGTGTGCTAGTCACACACTCTACCAATTGAGCTACATCACCCTAACCCCTCCTGAGGTTTGTGTAACCTTCGGTCTGCTTCTCTTCACCCAAATCCTATTTTTCCATCCCAATCTACTACTCCCTTCTGCAGAATCTGGTCTATAGCTACTTTATAGGTCTAATGACTGTGCCTCTGCGGTCTCTGGACTCGACCTCCTAACCCCAACAGAGCTTAGCCATTTACCAATGCTCTTGCTAGAATGAGATACACTAAAGCTTGCCTTTGTCTTTTCCCTGTATCACTTTAGCAACCTCCCTCTGAACCTTCCCTAGTCCCCAGAGTGCTAAGAGTCCCTGAGGCTGTCTATACTTTTTAGGATTTTTAGATTATAACAGACTAAAGTTCTCTAATATCAGCTGGGTCAGCGGGGGCTTGAGCAAGTCTTTTGTTCAGATCTGGTCATTAGCTGCCACACTTGCAGATGACCGACACTTCATTTGGTATAGGAAGCTGCAACTCCAATAATGGCAGGCACAACTTAACCCCAATCTTCATAGCGCCAGTCCCCAAATACTTTGTGTAGAGAAAAAAATAATTCATTACAAAGAGAAGTCTATTGCACCTAAGGAAGCTACTCTCATTAGAATCCTATTTCTAACATCCTGGACACCCTTATATGAAGGACCAGAACTTCACATTGGTTTAGCATGAAAACTCTGAACAAGGGCCAATAGATTTTTTTTTTCACATCTAAAAGGAAGAAAACAAAACTACCAGTCTTTTGCTAACTGGGAGGCGCAGGAGGCATCAGGTTTTGAGCGGATGGTCAGGATGGTCGAATGAAGGGCTCAATGATTACTAAGCATGTGTTCTACCCCTAGGCTATAAACCCAAAGCTCCTAACTGCAGCTTTTTTTTTTCCAGTTGGACCTATCTTTTTTCTTATTTTGCCCCCTATGCAAAAGCACTGGTGATCTCCAGCAGATGGAAAAATTAGTCACGAACCTCACGCATTACTTGTCTTTGGCTCACTCAAACTCATAAAAAGCACCTGAGGGGGGTGAGACGGCTCAGTGAGGAACGTGCAGTAGGAGCTGACAGCCTGGGTTTGAGCTCTGGACCTACACAAAGGTGAGAGAAGCTGTCCCCTGACCCCCACACCCAAGCCCACGGGCACATCACACTCATCAATAATAAAGCAATTAAAGTTTAAAAAAGAACTGTGTGAGCCAGACACAAACCTCTCCTATACGCCTGCCTGTCGCACAAGGACTATCTTTCATAGTATGTCTGCCTGATTCTGTAAAACACGGGCCCTAATCAATGATCATGTCCAGGGCTGCGGAGATGACTCAGAAGAACCCAAAAAGAGGAGAAATCTCTCTCCCAGACATTTCCCATCCCCAAGTAGTTTTGTTTTCACTGAGAAAGGCTATAAAGATAGACTTAAACCTCTCTCTTCTCATCTGTCAGTAACAACAAAACCTTTGGTGTGGTCAGATCCACTTTATCCCTCTGATAGGCTTATGGAAAGGCTTCATTATCGATGCCTGCTAAGGAAGCATTCCCACCTGCCCTCTCAGAAGACCACCCGGGCGGGCGCAAACACACTTTAATCACGCCTCCCCTGATCAATGGAGCACAACAGCTCCAGGTGGCAAGGAAACCAAGACATCTTTTGTGTTGCCTGTGCTACATCAAAGGGCCAGTCTGGGAGGTTCAAAGTCTTCCATACAGCAAATTCAGTATGTTCCTGGCATCCATGGTAATGACAACACTAACTGCTCCCCAGTTAGCGTGCTTATTTCAGTGCCTTCCCTCCACAATCTAGCTCGCTGTGCCCAACCCTACGTCTAATGACTGGGCCTCTGCTCTTGCCTCTCTCCCTCCAGAAAATCTTCAAATGTATAACTATGCAGATCAGAAGGTCTTAAGACGTGGATCTTAGTTTTTTCATTTTCTAGAGGGAACGCTTTAGCTTTAAGCAGTGGTTCTCAACCTTAATTAAAAACAAGCAAACAAACAAAAAACCAGAGCTTTAAAAAAAAAAATACCAGTGGAGTCTGGGCATGGTAGTGCACACAAGAAAAATACCAATGGTGCCTGGCAATAATAGTGCACATGCACACCTTTAATCCCAGCACTTGGCACAAGAATCCTTCAAAAAAAAAAAAAAAAAGAAAAAGAAAAAAATACTGATGGGCTAAAGAGATGGCTCAGCAGGTAAAAGCACTTGCTGCCCCACACAGCAAACCTAACCTGCTGAATTCCATTTCTGGAACCCACAGAACAGAACGGACTCCATAGAGTTGTCCTCTCAGGAACGCTGCGGCAAAAGCATCCACATACATCATATACAAACACTTACACAACAATCATGAAGATAAATTAAAAGACACTGATGTCGAGCCACTGAAATGGCCCAGGAGGTACAAGTTTGCTGGCCAACCTGATGACCTGAGTTGGAAAGCTCTGACTACATATATGATATTGGGAAAGAGCCAACTCCTGCAAGTTGTTCTGTGGCCTCTGCACATGAGCACACATACACATGTGCACACGCACACTAAATCAATCTAAAAATCTTTAAAAAAGAAAAAATACTGCTATCTGGGAGCACCACTCCCAGACATTCTGATTTACTTGATCTAGAGTAAAGCCAGGCATCAGAATCTTTCAAAGCTCCCCAGATATGTGCAAGCAAGATAAAGAGCCTGTCTCAAGGCTGTCCAGTACAGAGAGACTTACGCTCCATTCCGTACCAATTCAGTGGGTAGGTTGCAAGCATGAATGTTGTCCAGAAAAGAAACTCCATATCCGAGACGCTAAGTTCTATGCTGTTAAATCACAGTCTTTCCAATAGTAGCGCGTTTGTCATTACACTAATTCTTTAAGAAGTTTGGAGAGATGGAGAAATGTCTCGGTAGTAAAGAGCACTGCTGCTCTTCCAAGGGCACAAGGAACACAATGGCGCACAAACATATAATGCGGGCAAAACACTTACACAGGCAATAAAGTAATTTAAAAAAAAAGATACTCTTAATCTTATTCTTTTTATTGTAATACTTACAAAAAAAAACCTTTATTTTATGTGCATTGGTGTGAACGTATCAGATCCCGTGGAATTGGAGTTACAGACAATTGTGAGTTGCCATATAGGGGCTGGAAATTGACCCAGGTCCTCTGGAAGAGCAGTCAGTGCTCTAAACCACTGAGCCATCTCCCTAGTACCTTAAACAGTTTGTATATTATATAATATACAAAAAAAATGGTGACTGATCCCATTCACTAACCAAGTATCTAGGCTCCAACTCAGAAATCCTCTTCTATAATATCCATAAATTTCTCCTGCATTTTCCTGGGAATTCAGCACATAGAGCCTACAGAACAGAATACAGTCTGCCAAAATACAGTGCCCTTGGGAGAACTTCCTGGTAGGGTCTACCATATCTGGCCCTTTTTTCCCTCTTCCCTTCCTCTTCCATCCACCTACCAGGCTGTTTCCCAACTAGGTTCGAACAGTCCTCCACTCTTAGCCTCCTTGGGTAGCTAAGACTCTAAGTGTATGACTATTTATCTGGTTTTCAAGCATTTGCCTCTAACTACATCTTTCTCCATCATTGCCAGCTTTAATCCCAAAGCATTCCATTTCTGCTGTCTTACAAATGAAGGAATATTGCTCATCTATCGGCTGGCTACTCTTCTGCTGGGCCTTACGAGGGGCCCCATCAGTCTTCTGACATTTACTCTGTAGAGCACACAAAGGATTAAAAATGCATTCGGAACCATACCCAGCACACACCTGCGGTGTCAGTTACTAGGGAAGCTGAAGAGGACTGCCTGGGCCTAGATTTTGAGCCCATTGAGGCCAGTCATGATGAATTCAGGGAGATAACTCTTCCATACAGAGGGAGAAAGTCAGACCCCCCCCCCACACACACACACATCCACGGGTTTCACATCCTCAAATTCAGTCAAAAAGCAGACAAAAAAAAAAAAAATCCTGAGAAGAAAAATTTGCAGCTGTCCTGAATGCTTTTCTTGCCGTTCCTCCCTACACAATACAGAGCAGGAGCTACTTACATGTCACAAGTAACCTAGAGATTGTTTCCAGGAAGGTGAACACAGCTTCCATGCAAATAGCACACCTTATTACAGAGGGGACTAGAGCATCATGGAATCCCTGCAAAGACCTGGAAGCAATAGCTGGGGGGGGGGGGGGGGGGGGGGGGGGGGGGGGGGGGGGGGGGGGTAATAAGGAATGGCTGAATCCTGACTGTATTAAGGTGGATTCCAAGACCTATAGAACTGAGAGGCTACAGACTAGGAATATGTAATCTTGGGATGAGCAAGTGACGTATCTGAATAACTTGTAAGCTAAATTTCATTCTGGCTGAAGGGTGAGGCTGATGGGAGATGCCAGGGGATTCTTCAGGCCTTGGAAGGTACCTTTGTGACGTTGTAGGGCAAAAATCCAGTTTGCGCAGGTGTTCCACGTGCCCTGGGAGAGAAAAGAGGCCAGGTCAGAGACGCCCCACACTGCCAACATGCCATGCTCCAGATTATTACCTGTTCGACCCCGGGCCAACCCCAGCTCTTGCTCATAACCCTGTTAGAAATGTTTCTGTCTCACTCAGTCATGCACTCCCATGCCACTATTGGCTGCCATAGACCAAACGGCATGTCTGCCTTGTTTATAAATACGCACAGACACTATAGGCTAAGCTTCCTCTAGAGGTTCCTTCTAGTCTCATTTCAAGCATGTGGTCCTGTCTTCGTTTACCTCTTCCATCTTTAAAATGTCCCATCTTCATCCCTCCGTCCACTTTCACAGCCTCTCAAGGTCTTCAAGGAAAAAAAAAATAACTTTCGCCCCTCAGACTTATTTATTTATGCTGCTCACAGAGATATCACTCTCTACAACTAAAACGTAACATTTTATTGTAAAACCGTGATGGGCTCGCCCACTCCCGCTCTGGCTATTTGATTCGCTGGAACCTCTCAAGAACTCATGACCCGTCTACGAACAGGAAAGAGGGGACGAGCTACAGTCGAGTGGAATTTCGAACGAAAAATCCCTAAAATCGGGATGCTCTGGGCTTGAACGCTGACGAACACGCCACAGAGGCCCGGATTTGGCCACCTGTGACCAAGCAGGAAGTTTTGAAACCCGTTTGCGCGCCAAAAGGCCGCACGCATGCGCAGGGAGTCTCGGGGAGGGGGCGGGGTGTGTGAAGTCACGTCCTGGCACAGGTTCTCGCGTTGTCTGGGGAAAGACCGGAGCTAGGGAGGTTTTTAATGTGGCGTTGTGGGGACCTCCCACCACCTCTTAGGGAAAAAAAAAAGATGTCTTTTCTTCCTTTCAGCCTCAGTGCGGTGGCTCCGGCCGACAGTTGTGTCAGATTCTGGATTCCATGGTAGCGCAGAAACAGATAAAGCAGGAAAAGCCAGCTAGTTCGTCGTCCTAGGAGACGCGGGTTCGCTCGGCGTCCTCCGCCCCACCCCCGCCTTTTTTTTTTTTACTATGCAAAACAAAAGACAAAAAAAAAAAAAAAAAAAAACCTTGGCCCAGGACGCAGGCGCAGTGCTTGTTTACCGCGGGCCGAGCGCAAGCCCCTTCCCGCCGGCTGGTGCCTGCGCCTGCGCGGATGACGTGGATCTCTCTCTGAACGGGAAGACCGCGCCTACTTGTCCCGGGCTGAGGGGGCGAGGAGCGGAGGTGGAGGACGGCGCTGTGTGCGTTTGAAAGCTCGGAGAATTGAAATGAAAACAACAACGCCCAGAAGTCGGTGTCGTGTCAGAGGCACGAGCGCAGAGGACCCAGATGCTGGGCACTCCACTATCACTAAAGTGAGCGGCGGCGCTGGAGCGCGAACGCCGGCCGGCCGCGCTCACACCTCGTTAAAAGGATGGACTTTGCAGTGGCAAAGATGCAAATAAGTCCGAACCTGAGGCCTCCGAGTTCGAGCAATTCCTGCATGGGTTAAGACTGATTCTTTTTTTTTTTAACTTATTTATTTATTAAAGATTTCTGTCTCTTCCCCACCGCCGCCTCCCTTTTCCCTCCCCCTCCCCCAATCAAGTCCCTCTTCCTTGTCAGCCCAAAGAGCAATCAGGGTTCTCTGCTCTGTGGGAAGTCCAAGGACCACCCACCTCCATCCAGGTCTAGTAAGGTGAGCATCCAAACTGCCTAGGCTGTTAAGACTGATTCTTGAAGCAAACTCAGAAAGGCAGCCATGCAAATTTTGAAACTAGAAAGAGCTGACACTAGAAGCAGAAGCCTAGTTTGAGTTTGAATATCCTTTCAAAGTTCGCTTCAAGTGGATTCAGACAATGCTTATACAATCCGATAAGCACTCTTGATTTAGATTATTTTAGGTATGATTATCCATTTGCAAGTGAGGGCAAAGTGACTAAATTTTTAAAGTTCTGTGAAAGAATATTCTATTGATACATTCTAGGATGCCCAAAAGCCATAAATAAATATAAGTGGTAAGTCGGCTTAGTGTGGATATTTTTCTAGCGTTAAAATCAATTGATTTTTTGACAATTTTACTAGACCCTAGTTATTTTTTGACTGGTGAATTTGAAGACTTTCGATTTGTAACATTTCCTACTACAAAAGTGAGATTTGGGTAAGAAGAGGAAAATGTATACATGTGAACACACAGGGCCAGGTTTTCAAGGCTTTGCATGCTCCCCAAATTCAGTCACAGGAGAAGCCACCATCTCAAAAGCTAGCCTTCGGGTTTTCTTTATGTTCAACATGATAGATTAATAATAGTATTTTAAACAATTTGTACCATCTGAATATGGTGGTATATGGCAAAAGGGGGAGGGTAATATAGGTGGGTTTGTAGTTCAGTTGGTAGACTCCTTGCACAGAAACCATAGGATTCGTGCAGAACTGAATGAAATGGGGCCTGGTGGCACATTCCCAGCTGTAGAAGCAGGGTCAGAAGTTCAAGGTTATACCCATTTACACACTTGAGTTCCAGGCCAGCTTGGGCCACATAAGACCCTGTCTTAAAAACAGATGCAGGGGCTGGCTCAGAGGTTAGGAGCACTGCTTGTTCTTCCAGAGGTCCCGAGTTCAATTCCAAACAACCACATGGTGGCTTATAGCCTTCTATATTAAATAAATAACAGATACAGGACAGAAACAATAGCTTTACTTGAGGTACGGTAATAACCAGTTTTCCAAGCCTATGTTAAACTGACATTTCTTCAAAAAGGAAAAAAAATTACAGAAAAGATGTATAAATTCCTTGTTCACATTTATGATTAGACTAACTCAAAAAGAGGGCTTACTTTGTCAAGACTGACAGCTATCATAAAAGAACAGATTGTAATGGTAACCTTTTTTTTTTTTTTTTTGGTTTTACTTTGTCTTTTGGGTTTTTTGTTTATGTTTTTTGAACGAGGGTCTTGCTGTGTAATCCAGGATGGCTTCAAACTGGGAACCTTCCGGCCTCATTGTCCCGAGTTCTGGGACTACAGAAGTGCACCGCCATAGCCACCCTGAAAGACTGTTTTAAACGTTATGATATGTCTCTAATGGAAATTCTCTTAGATGAAGAGTTAATACATTCAGGGTGGGAGAGATGGCTCAGTGGTTAAGAGCACTTGCTGCTCTTGAGAAGACTGGAGTCAGGTCCCTAGTGCCCACATGACAACTCACAACCTCTTGTAATTCCAGCTCCAGGGGATCCAGTGCCTTCTCTGGCTGGCTTCTGTGGGCACTACATGTGATGCATATAAATGCATGCAGGGAAACACACATAAACTAAAAATCTTTTCTTTCTCTTCCTTCCTTCTCCCCCCTCCCACCTCTTTCTTTCCTTCTTTTTCTTTTTTAAAGAAAAGGCTAGATAAAGCCTGGCATGGTAGTACACCTGCAATGCCAGTACCTGAGGCTGAGGAGGAGGTTCAGATGTTCGACCAGACTAAGGAGCACAACAAAACATTATCTCAAACAAACAAACAACAACAAAAAAAATAGCAATGGTAAGTGATTGGTGGAAAGTTCCAAGCCCCCTCCTCTGGGAGTGGCCACAGTCCAGACTCCACCTCCAAGAAAGCTCACCAATGGTGACCCCTCCCCAGAGAGGGTCAAGACCACTCCCACAGGCTATTTAAACTGACCCCTAGAGAATGAACACATGGTCCAGGGTTTTCCAGGGTCATTCTGGTTCTCCTTTTCCGATCTTCATGTTTTATCGGGGGGAGGGGGGTTGGAGGGGGTGACCTGGGGGGCCACTGGGAGTGCTGGCATGCATTAGAGCTAGGCATCTTCTAATTCTGTCTGATTTGGTCTAATTTGGATTATTGTGTTGGCAGAGAGATTTGTCGGTCCAAAAAAAACCTTAACAGTCAACAACATAAAATACAAAAACAACTAAAAGGTGGCTAGAAATATGAGTCCTGGACTGGCAAGATGGTTCTTCGGGTAAAGGCATTTTTCACCAAGGCCTGATGACCTGAGTTGGCTCCCTGAATGAACACAATAGGAGAAGACAGCCTACTCCTGAAGATCGTCCTAGCCTCTACGTGTAGTGTCTGCACATTTGTACACTAAATGTAAGATATTTGAATTTAAAAAAGAAATGAGTCCTTTGAGTTTCTAACTTACCTACGTGTGATAAAAATTAGTGTAGGACTGGTAAGAGGTCAAACAAAATGTCCTTCTTATGAGTGGTGGCGAAGGCCTTTAATCCCAGCACTCGGGAGGCAGAGGCAGGGGTATCTCTGTGTTTGAGGCCAGCCTAATTTACAGAGCAAGTTTCAGGACAGCCAGGACTACACAGAGAAACTCTGTCTTGAAAAAAAAAAAAAAAAGGTTGGAGAGATGGCTTAGCAGTTAGAGCACTGATTATTCTGATTTCAATTCCCAGCAACCACATGGTGGATCACTACCACCTGTAATGAGATATTGTGCCCTCTTCTGGCCTGTAGGTATACACAAAGGCAGAACACTGTGTACATAAGAAATAAATCTAGAAAGAGAGAAAGGGAAGGAAGGAAAGAAAGAAAAGAAAAAGAAAAAAAAGAAAGGAAGAAAGAAAGAAAGAGAAAAGCCAAAGAAAAGGAAGCAAAAGTCAGCTGGTAGTGGTGCACGCCTTTAATCTCCGCACTCTGGGGGCAGAGGCAGGCAGATCTCTGTGAGTTCAAGGCCAGCCTAGTCTACAAGAGCTAGGACTGTTGTACAGAGAAACCTTGTCTCGGAAAAAAAACAAAAGAAAAGGAAACGAACCAGAGTACTGGTCACTCATTTTAACTCAGAAAATGTACTTCAAGTTTTCATGGTCAGGAACAGAGAAAGTTCACAGTGCTATTTCTTCAGCCCACTTTCTGGGTATGTTTCTTAGTTAGGTTTTCTATTGCTTCAAAGAAACGCCATGACCAAAAAGCAAGTTGAGGAGGAAATGGTTTATTTGGCTTACACTTCCAGATCATACTCAAACATTGGAGGAAGTCAGAACAGGAACTCAAGCAGGGCTGGAACCTGGAGGCAAGGGCTGATGCAGAGGCCATGGAGGGGTGCTGTTTACTTACTCACTTCCCCTGGCTTGCTCAGCCTGCTTCCTTATAGAACCTAGGACTGCCAGCCCAGAGATGGCACCACCCACCACAGGCTGAGCCCTCCCCTGTTGACCACTCATTGAGAAAATGCCTTACAGCTGAATCTCATGGGGGCATTTCCTTAACTGGCACTAGCTTGTGTCAGGTCGACACCCACAAGCAGCCAGTACAGTATGTTTGCTATAATTATCATGATGCTGTAAAGTTCTGAAACTCTGCCAGCATTTGTGTCTGCATACTGAGTGAATATATGGTTTTGACATTTCTGGTGGGGGTGGGGTGGGGAATATATATATTTTTTTAAGTCTTTGCTGTCACTTTAAAAACTCTACATGTTAAGTCCTGGGGGTTGGGCAGGGAAATCCAACACTCTTGTTATACCTTAAGAAGAAATGATGTGGCCTGGGTGTGGTGTCACACGCCTTTAATCTCAGCACCCCAGAGGCAGAGGCAGGAAGAGCTCTGTGAGTTTGAGGCCAGTCTGGTCTACATGTCGAGTTCCAGGACAGTTAGAAGTACACAGAGAGACTCTGTCTTAAAAAAGAAGGAAGAGGAAGAGGAGAGGAGGAGGAAGAGAAGGAGGAGGAGGAGGAGGAGAGAAGGAGGAGGAGGAGGAGGAAGAAGAAGAAGAAGAAGAAGAAGAAGAAGAAGAAGAAGAAGAAGAAGAAGAAGAAGAAGAAGAAGAAATAATAATGATGGAGGAAAAAGCCTTCAGTTAGAGATGGAACTGGCAGAAAGAAGGGCAGGTTGGGGTTGATACTATATAGGCAAAGCCCATTGAGGACCTGCTGACCTACTCTTCCTTCTGATAGGGAACTCTATCCTTGCCTCCCTTTGTCCCGAGTCTGCACGGTTGGCTTCATAAATTTACATCTCTGATAAGAAAAATGCCCTTCTTTTATCTGCACTGCATTAAAGAATCTTTTGTCATTATCCCAAGGTAGTTGTTGCACCCCTAAACATGTTCTCAATAGGAAGTGCTCCAAAAAGAAGGAAAGAGGCCACTGGGCATGGTGACATGCCTATAATCCTAGCACTAAGGAGGCTGAGACAGGAGCCAGCCTGTGCTACTTCATCTTTCTAAGTGCATAAAGGATATGGAGTGTGGGTAGTTTTCCAGCGTTCCTCTGGAACTCACTCCCGTAAGGGCACTTTCGTTTCCATATGACTTAATAGTGTTACTCAGAGCTCCATCATCTATTGGACTCATATATTGAGCTACACATATGTACAAAGAAAAATAATGTTCTTGTTTTTTTGTTTTGTTTTGTTTTTCGAGACAGGGTTTCTCTGTGGTTTTGGAGCCTGTCCTGGAACTAGCTCTTGTAGACCAGGCTGGTTTCGAACTCACAGAGATCCGCCTGCCTCTGCCTCCCAAGTGCTGGGATTAAAGGCAGGCGTGCGCCACTCCCCCCCCCTGCGGAAAAATAACATTCTTGAACATTTTAAGCTGACCATAGTGGTGCACACCTATTGTTTCAGCAGTTTGGAGGCAGAGGCAGGAAGATCAGGAGTTCAAGGCCAGGCTGGGCTAAGTGAGATCTTGGCACAAATAACTTCTGCCTTCAAAAATAACA